CAGCCCTCAGTGTGAGTGAGGTTCTGGCAGAAACAGGAAGTCAGGTCTGTAAGGAACTAGATGGTGGTCACTGTAGATGAAGCTATAAAGTCCACCCAAAACTTTTAGACTGTTGCTGCAGGTCAACAGGCCTAGCTTGAGTAGCAATAGCAAAGCCTGGAAGTCTGTTAGAAATGCAGAAACTCATATGCATCTCAGGCCTACGGAATCAATCTGCACTTCAAGATCCCTAAGTGACACACTGGCACATTTAAATACAAGAAGTACTACTCCAGAGTAACCTTTCTCTATTGGTCCACCTGAGTGGGGGGGGGGGGGGGTGCCGCTCAAGTCACCCCTCTCCCTTATCATCCAAGTTTCAGTTCTCTCAATCAGGGTAAAGGAGATGCTGGTTAGAGACAACCCAGTGAGATACAATACTGTTTTTAGTGTCCAGGGGAAAGAAAACAAAATCATGTGGGGGCGTAATGAATCTGAAACGAGAAGATTCTGAATTCAGCCAATCAAACTCTCTGAGCGCTGGTGCCTGGGCTTCAAAATGGGAGACTAGTAACATCTTCTCTAGCTCCTTCCCAGTGATGAATTATGAACCTCACATGAGATCAACAGATAGAAGCAGTTTTGAACTGCGCCTAGAAATTCAAGTATTCATTCCCCTTAGAGTGGGAACGGAATAATTCTGGAATTCTAGGAATCATCTTAGAAAGAAGCAGGCTAAAAAGAGCCTAAGTAGCTAATGAGTGCTGGTCAATTTGTACAAATTACCTCTCTTGATTCTCACAGCCACTTTCCAAGGCAGTCATCATTATTCCCAACGTACAGACAGGCCAACCGAAACTCAGAGAGATTAGAAGCCTGGCCAACGTCATATGATAAACAAGTGGAAGAGCTGGAAATCGAAGCTGAGTTTATCTTGTTAAGCCACTACACTTTGTAGCCATCCAGCTATTTGTTCAACTGCTTCCAAACAGAAAGCAAACCAAATATTGCTTCAGTCAGAAGTTAAAAGGAGTTCCCAAATGAAAACAGGGCCACTGCACAACCAGCTTTGTCTTGAACATAAGTCCTGTCCTGTGTTAAGCACTCCCCAGTGGTTTCCCTTAAATAAAATCCACCAGGCCATCGGGCCACAGCCTCTGTCCCATCTCATCCATTCTCTCCTTTCCTCACTTGACTCTGCCACATTAGCCTTTTGATCGTTCTTTGAACAGACCAAGGTCCTCTTCACAGGATCTTTGCCTGTGCTGTTAGCTCTAGATCTTGGTTTCCCCTCACCCTCCAGAGCCACCTTATCCTCTGCATCTCTCAGGTTCACCTTACCAGTAACTGTTCTTTCCTTTAAAGACCTTCTCGAAAACCTCATTGAGAGGAAGCTTTTCCTCTCATTCTCTCAGCTTCTTATTTTCTTCTCTTTAACATTTATAATTTGTGATTCAATTCTTCACTTGTTCATTTTCATCCCCATACCACACCAAATACCCTACAAGAATATAAGCTCCATGAGGCAAGATCACATTAGTCTTCTTGTGCCATAAGACTTAACACAGAGCAGTCATTCAATGATGTTAAAGAAAGGAAAGAGAAAGTGGGAGAAATGAGCGAAGAGGATGGGTATTTAAACATGTATGTGCCTGAGTTTCTTTGTTACAAGAATTTATAAGGAGATAATGGTGCCTAGCTTCATAATATTCAATGATTCATAACTTTTCTCTATTAAAATTTTTTCTTTTGGATGAAAGCTCCAGTTTCAAAAACTTCAAATGGATTCAACATTATTTAGCATATTTTGGGGGAAAAAACACATTTATCTCTTCCTCCTGGGAACAGCTGAGCAGCAACTGGAGAGACCCATGGTCATGCCCCCTTCAGTAGCCGGGGATGAACAGTGAAGAACAGACCAGGATTCCAACACCTCCATGCCCCAAAGGAGAGACACTGATCTTAGAGAAGTCACTTGGTGTGAGGGCTCAGGCTATTAGCATTCAGTGTTTAGTTTTGATTCCTGAAATCCTGGATAAATGCTTGGAACTTTGCTCCAACAAGATCATTGTCAGGTGGTGCATGACTGTGCAAGAAAGAGTGACAAAGACTAAAAAGACTAGAAGAGAAATGAGAAATAGCTCTAGGAAAGACTGGATAAAAGAAAATTCTAGAGAACTGAAAAAAGTCAGAAAAATTAATAGGACAAGGGTAGCTAATGTTAATCAGTCACTTTCCATGTGCTAGGTCTTATTTCAAGTGGTTTATGTGCATTAAACTCATTTAATGCTTTCATCCACCTTAGGAAAGTGGTACGTTTATTATTCCCATTTTACATACAAAGAAACCGAGGCAGTGAGAGGTAATGTAGTTTGCCCCGTGATCACATAACTTTCAAAGAAGGTCTTCATTTAAAAGCTCAATAAAACGGGTGAGCTGGCAGATGTATGATTCATTTAGAGTTGGAAAGGGGATAAATGAGGATAGAGATGGGATACGAGTTTATGTGGATTTATAATGATGTTATTGAGGTTTTAAATTCTAAAACACCTTTGAATCATTTTAGAAAGTTATTCTTAACTCTGAGCTCTGTTTTATCCACTCCATCAAAAAAGCTAATCAGACTGTACTAGAGAATAAGTCATAAAAAAGATATGCAACAATGACTTCTTTTGTTTGGGGAAAAGCAGCCTCAAGCTTGAGAGTATGTCATTCTATTTCTACTGTATTTATAATAATTTTTTGCTATCCAACCCCACCTGCCTATTCCCTCCACCTTGCCCCAGAGACCAATATACTTCTAGTGATAATAAAGAAGGGCATTAACTTAGTAAGAGAAAAATAATGCAGAGGTTAGGGGCTGGCCACAGAAGGCACTTTCTCAGACACTGTAAAATCCTTGTTTACTTGGTTTGTAACCAGGAAACTTAGTTAATAACCTTCATTTTTTCCAACTCCTTTTGCAAGTGCAAATCCAATACAATTCTTCAGTGGGGCACAGTAAAAAAGAAAATGCAAAGGCATTTTGAAAAAGCTCACCCATTTAGATTTAATTACATACATAACTGGTGTCCTCCCAAGTGTGAAAATGCTGTAACCAATAAATCAGACAATAAAATGCTATCTGAGCAGAACAGATTTATTGAGAAGATGTGTGAGCAATCAAAATTCACTGACTTGCATTGGGGTATTTTTACAAAGCAAAGTTTTTAGATGTAAGAGCAAGCCCTGCTCGTGGAATTTTGCCTTCTTTTGAACACTTAGGTCAGTCATGTTCCTGAAAGGGTGTTCTTGTGCAATGACTTTGAAGAGAACAGATTTCCATCTTAGAAACTTCTCAGTGTGAAAGAATTACTAGATCTGTGTTTGCATGTTAAATTTTAATGACCACCTCACTCCTCTTATACTGCTTCTTACATGCTTAATTAATAACTACTAACCGAAACTTCGTTTAGTAGAAAGGGTATTTTAGATTAAAGCTTCCTTGAGATGTACAAGGAGGCTACAAACTTCTGCAAAGCTCAACTTTTAAAAATGAGACATTCAGACTACCAAATATCTTCCCAATGAGCATAATTAAAACAGACTCTTTGTAACATTAGCAGTGGGGCCATTAAAACATTGCCAGTGATTCTGATCTTTATGAAACTCTTTTTTTTCAGCATGCTTTGGATTGAAATTTCTTGTGAATGAGCCGACTTGGAGTAAGAAAGATGGGAAGGCTAGAGTCTCAAGTCTTGTCATCTTCTGGGCATACTTTTTGCCAAGTGCAAATTGTCGGAGGTATGGACTCATCACATTTTAATGCTCCCATTTGGAATAAAATTAAATGAAAAAAAGTTTCTCATTTTAATAAAACCTTATGAAAATAATACATTAATACACTTTATAGCTGTTGGTCAATCATGTGAAAGGCACAATCTGATCTCTGCAGACGTGTTCCTAAGGAAAAGAGCCGGTCAGCTGAGCCACTTCCTCATTTTTTGTATATGCACAAATGAAAATGACCTTAAGATTCACAAAATCACCCATGGTTCCAAGTAAGGAAATAAAACATATAAATAATAGTGAGGTTTCACTTTATCATTAAATTATAATGCTCTTTTTTTTTCATTTGCTGATTCAGAAAGCAAAATGACTCTGCTTGAGTTGAAATACTTCCTATCTTCCCTTACTTTCTCCATCACAACATCAAGCTAACTTTAAATAATTTTGATTAGATTAGTATTGTTTTTCTATCTCTTTTATTTGTTTGGGAGTTCTAGGCTCTGACAGGAGAGCTGGCATATAACTGTGAAACAGGCTGAGTTTCTTGACTGACTCAAACAAGATCCATTTCCTTCTCCCTAGCTGTGGATTTTTAAGTTTGGATCAGACTCCTGCTCTTGTTTCTCTCTGGATCTATTAGCTAACAATTACACATCTGTTCTGATGGCAACAAACTTTGCTGAAGAAATAAGTAAGAATGCTTTCTTTCCCCAAATATGCTGAATAATGCAAGTCCATTAGAAGTTTTTGAAAGAGGAGCTTTTATTAAATTTCTTCAATACTCAGATTGAAGGTCCTTCAATTTCGACACTCATTAACCATATAGACAGATCATGTTACTTCAGCAGGCTGTTTCTCCTTTTTGTTTTGTTTTTATAAAAACATTTCCCACTGTCTCCTTTCAGTTTCTCTAGCAACTATATGTTCTCTTATCCTATATGCAGGGCTAGGCTGAAGTTCATAGAACTGCTTAGTAAAGTCACTGTATCCCAACACAAGAACCTTTTACGCAGAAGAGAATGCCTTTCCTTAAAAACCCTCTTAAGAAACACATATATGAAAAGTGGCCCGATGTGATTTGGAATTCAGCATTTGATCAAGACACCGAACTCAGAACTGCATTCTGCAAGCCTTTCATTCTTGTGTTTGCCAAGGGCTCTTTACACAAGTTACTTAAATTGACCTTTTATGCTTTCAATAAATGTGGTTTTTAAGAAACCCGGGGCAAAGCAGCAAACATAAATGGTACTGACCTTCGTATATTCAAACTTCACATTGGTGAGTGGGACAGGTAAGTCTGGCATGCCTGGGGACGACATTTCTGGTTCAGCTCCTGAAACACAGGTGACAGGCTCAGCGATTTGGTTCTGATAGAGCACTTGGCTTTATTTGTTCCTTTTTATCTGCACGGGCTAAGGTTTATTTGCATACTGGGAGACGATTGGATGGAGCAAGAAAGAAAATGACACTACTTATTTGTAACACCTAGTGCAGGAAGCCCTTGACTTTTTAAAGTTAAATCCTTAAGAAACCAGCGCTCCAGCCCTGCAGCTGCATCTGGAGAAGGGCACTATTTGCAGATGAATTAATTTACAAAGCCGAAACCTGTGGGAAGGGTTCTCAGCGCAGCTGTTCTGGCCACTGAGGCCAGTTATTATTTTTTTGGCTTCTCGTGCTTTTTTATGCTCCTGTGAAACTTTCCGTTCCCTGACAGACTTGGAATCAGAGGATCTGAGAATTGAGTATCCAAACTGGCACAGGCTGGTGAGGAGAGGACCCTGGCCAGGTGTCTTCAGGTCAATGCTGTCAGGGAAAGAGGGTGCTGTTTGGGGGAAGAAAGGCCCTCTATGTAGACCCTATCCCAAGTCAGCTTTAAAAAAAAATTATACCAATCCAGTGTATTTTAACTGCTGGGGAAGTAGACCCAGTGTCATTTCAGGAGCTCTAAATTATCTTTATTTTACCTATGGGAACAGAAAAATCAGCAGGATTTTTAGGGAACTCAGAATGCACTGTCATACAAGGTCACCACAGCAGTCATACTGTTAAAACACACTTAAAATGAAAGTAACTTCTGATGCTGGAAGCTGACTGTATTTATCAATCATTGATCCAGGCAATTGCACAAGGAGTAAACATAAACAGGACTTTCAAGTCACTCAAGTTCTTAAAATTAAATTAATAGTTCAAGCTGGCAACATTAAAAAAGGACACATTTTTAAACTGTATTACTCCCATTTAAAGTACAATATTTCATTGTATTGAAGCTCTAGCAAAAGTTATGGTAGGAACAGATAGAAAGCTTTGGATGCTCTCAATTCTGATTACTAAGAATTCAGGAGTTTTGTTTTTTTTTTCTTCCCCCAGTGAACATTGCCAGCTTCCCCAAATATGGGATTTGGCAGGGAAAATAGGCTCATTGACTTGTTTCTTCTAACCAGGTGCTGCAGCCTTGTTTTCTCTTTCCATCCTTACTTGCTTTTCCATTTTACAGACAGAGGGTAACTAGATTGCATATAATCACGGATCTAGTAAGGACAAGAATTTCATTTCCAGAGAATTGGCTGTTTTGGTTCTCAAAGTGAATAGTCACCCTCACAGGCACTTAAACTTGGCCTTTTATTCATTTAAGACAGGAGCCAGCAAACTTTCTCTGGGAAGGAACAGATAATAGATTTAGCTTTCTAGGCGAGGCAAGATAGTTTCTGTTGTAACTTAAGAGTCTGCATGAAGGAAATTATAGACAATAGATACATTAATGCTGTAGATTCATTACATTAATTGTTTTCCAATGCAATTTTATTTACAAAAAAATGGGAGGCAGGCCGGACCTGGTGCATGGTCCAGGCCCCCAGATTCTAAGGCAACTGTCCCCAAGGTCCTTGTCTCTCGTGCCTCATGCCTGAAGACCTGATAGAACCTTCTGTGTAATTTCAACATTTCTTCTGTTTCTTTCTCCCAATCTTGCTCTCAATTTCTTTCTTTCTTTCTTTTTGGAAAATTAAATTGTTTTCTCTTTAAAAAATGTGTTTTGAGTTAAATGCACAATTACACAACAGCTGTTACATAACTTGCGGACTGGTGCTCTGGCCATGCCCAGACAGCTGTGTTTTGCTGCTTTCTCCTGCTCTCAGTATAACAGTTGTTTGTGGATTCAAACACTGGTTTATTTGATGTCCAGGCAGTGAAAGCTCAAAGCTTTATAACACACTTGGTATGTCATCTCACTACTCACATGCTCATCCTTGATCATATTTTATTGAATAATTACATAAGAACAGGTCCTTTTATACCAGACACTACTAAACCTAGGTAAAAGGTGCAGCTTTGGGAACAGGTTATAACACCTGCCCATTTAATTTCAACAAATATTTACCAAGTATCTTTTTGTGGGGAAGGCATTGTGATTAAGAGTATCAGGAACTCTTTAACCTTAATCTTACTTGAAGGGCAGATCTTTCCTGCCCAGAAACCACAGGGCCTGAGATCTCAATTTTGAGGTAAGCTTTGTCCTGCCCCCTAGAACTTGTCTTGAAAGAACAGTATATTCCTGGGAATGGTTGCATGGGTAAAAGTCTTTATCAGACCACTTCCCGCTCTTTCAGAAGGAAAATGGCTTTGGGGAGAGGACAGGGGCCAAGGAGGCACACCCCAGGACTAGACCTAGGGTTGTGTGTTCTGATTGAGTGCCAATATCATTTTGATTGGGCGCCATGCAGTGGAGATGAGCTGGAACCATACTGGGGGTAACAGACAAAGGATGTTCTATCTTCCTTTCCTTCTTAGAAAGTGGAAGCATAGTTTTTTTCTTGAATACGATTTCTCCCAGTCCTTTGTGAAAACTGTCATTATACATATATTAATAAGATAAGTATAGACCATGGCTTCAAGCATTGCTGAAACCACTGTCTCATTTTACAATGAATCTCTCCAGAACTCCATTCATGTCCCAGTCCCTGAAAGGATAATGGAGCCTAACCTGCTCCCACCCATATGAGTAACTGCAATAAAAACCACTCAGATTTGTTGGACATTTATTAACTATTATGGATGGTGAAATAAAAATAGCTTCTTTTCACATGTTCTATCTTCAAAATGCTGCATCAATTCGTTGGAGCTAAACCTCTTTTGCTCAGTCATATCCCCACCTTCCTGGACTCTTCGATGTTGCCATAAGCATGGCTGTGTGAATCTGCCAGTTGGTTAACTCTTTGCTTTTAATTTGCAAAGTGTGGGCCTTGTGTGTGGTGATCTCTCGGTTGGCAAGCTAGTGTTACAAACGAAGGAGAAAGGTGGCATCTGAATATGTGACCACGTGTCTGTGGGCTAATTTCTATTCATCTGCCATTCTTACCCAATTAGCAATATTTTCTCACCACTGATTCTTCTGCTTTTCACATATCCTCTCCTTGTTTTCTCTTTGTCTTCATTATTGAGATATGGCAAATGCCCCTTTTATTTGGTGCAAATAGGACACTAATTAGTCACTAAAAGAGTTGATTAAAGCCTCCATAAGGTAATTAATTTTAGTTTAAATACATTTTGCTAAACTTTATGGACCAAAACCATTTCTTGGAACTGGGTCTGCTGCAGGAGGTTGAGATAACCTTGCATAAATAGTGTTCACAGTGTGCTTCTTTCCTCAAAGTTGAGAGAGAAACTGAAGACAATAAAGGCATCTTTGAGGCAGTCAGAATGTAGACTACTTTGAAATCTTTATGATATTTCCCATATTTTTTTTAACAATTGTATGCACAGATTACACAGCAACTTGACGAGATTAAGGGTTTTCATAGTATGCAGTTCAGCTTTTATAGAAATAACTCTGTTTCTCCTAACAAATCTACAATTTAAATAACATTTAATTAAAAATCATGTCATTGGCCGAAACTGGTTTGGCTCAGTGGTAGAGCATTGATCTGCGGACTGAAAGGTCCCAGGTTCGATTCCGGTCAAAGGCATGTACCTGAGTTGTGGGCACATCCCCAGTAGGGGTGTGCAAGAGGCAGCTGGTCGATGTTTCTATCTTATCGACGTCTCTAGCTCTCTATATCTCTCCCTTCCTCTCTGTAAAAAATCAATAAAATATATGTTAAAAAAATAAAAAAAAATCATGTCATTGAAGTACTAGGTTTATGTAAATGACCAAGGTTTGGAGCAAATACATTTGACTGTTGGTGAGCAGAGGAAACTGCCCTAAGCTGAACCAAAGACATAAGTATCAGTTGAACTGTTCTTTGTTTGTTTGTTTTTGCTGTTTAAAGTCAAATATACCATATTGGGAATACTATTTACATCTCAATAAATAGTTATAAAATGAACCAAAAAAAAATAACCATCCCTCTGATCAAAGAATAGAATACTAGCACCCATTAGCCCATTTTGTGTATCCTCCTCATCTCTATTCCTTCTTCCTCACCCTAAATGATCTGTATCCTAACTTTTAATGCCACACATTCTTTTCCCCTGATTTTGAACTTGACAAATCATACAGTCAGATATTTTTTACAAAGAAAATTCAGAGATGCAAGTTAATCTGGTAAATGAGTTAAATCATGGGTGAAGGTAAAGAAAGTTTCACAGAACATACTCCCCAACCCAGTAAACATAAATAGTAAGTGCAAACTACTATGTAGTAATGACTTAGCATTTTTGTGAGTAAAGGGGCACTTTTTCATCCCAACCACACTAATATATTAAGTTTCAGAGAAATGGCCCTTATCCTACAGTGTTGGTAGGAGCTTAATAGCACTTGACAAATTATATCAAAATGTAAAAAAAAAGTTCAAATCCTTAATCCAGGTATTCTACTTCTAGAAATTAATTTTAAAGAAACAATAAAATTGCCAGGACCGGTTTGGCTCAGTGGATAGAGCGTCAGCCTGGGGACTGAAAGGTCCTGGGTTCGATTCTGGTCAAGGGCATGTACCTTGGTTGCAGGCACATCCCCAGTGTGCAAGAGGCAGCTGGTCGATGTTTCTCTCTCATCTATGTTTCTAACTCTGTCCCTCTCAGTTCCTCTCTGTGTAAAATCAATAAAATATATTTTAAAAAAGAAATAAAATATGTGTAAATTATATTTAAAATAATGTTATTTACAAAATAGAAAATACCAAATGATTGATAAGTCATGATTTAGGAAAAAAACATGTGAACGAATAAGGAAGGACCTGTACCTGGTAAGCTTTTGTGATATACTGTGAATTATTTTTTTTTTTTAAATAGCTTATAAAACTGTGTGGAGTCATCCTAATAAACTGTATTCCAAAATCTGCAATTTGTTTTTGACCTCAGCTTTAGCATTTGGAAAGTGAAATAG